TCTTCTTTTACCCTCTTGCAATTCTTGATTATTCGGTACATATATATATGAGTATATTACGATATTCTTCTTCTGTTTTTTCTCGTTCCGAATTTGCAGGAAGAAGAACAAGCAGCAATAAAGCAGCTGAGAAAAAGCATGGTGGTGAAAGCAAAGCCTGTTCCCAGCTTTTATCGTGAAGGGCCTCCACCAAAAGCAGAGCTTAAGAAGGTAAATGGAAAAATTTTCTTTCTAGATTTGGGAAGGTACATGAGATGAATTATTGTTTTTCTTGGGTGAGTTTGATCTAATGATTATTTTCATTAAAGCCCATAGTTTTGTGAAAACTACTGTAAAAAAAAACAATAATAATAATTAAGAGGAAATGATAATATCAAATATAAAGGATGCTTGAAGTGTTTATTCCGATGAAGGTGGCTGAAGTGTAATAGCAACCCAACTCTCTCTCTCTCTCTTTCTTTCTTGCTATTTGATTTGTTTTTCTATATACCTTATTATCTCTTTGATTGACTCAAAATGCTCTTGTAAGCTATTCAAAAAAGCTTCTCTTCTTAATTTGTCTCTATGTACGTTTGATTGATCGATGGGAGTGACACTAAGATTGTGTTTGGTAAGCATATAAGCTAGTTTATAGCTTTTAAGCTTTCTCTATTCAAACAAGTTTGGTTTGGTAGGACGAGCTTTTTTTAAAAAGCTCGAGCTTCTTTAGCTAGCTTTTCAAATAAGCCCATTGAAATTTTTTTTTCAGCTAGCTTATCAGCTAATTTTACCAAACACTTTTATCATATAGACTAGTTTTTTTCAGCCATACGTCAATAAGTCATAAAAGCTATCAGCTACAAGTTCGAAATTCACTTAAAAGCTACTAGTTCATATCCCGTGCGATGCACGGAGAAGCTCATACCTTAAATCATTATTTTAGACTTTATCGTAAATATAATTGTTTATATTTTTCACAACTCATCTCATTTTAGAAATAAAATAAATACCAACAATAAAAAATCATATATCATGAAACATTTATCTTTACACAATATTTTTATTTAAAAAATATTATTATACCTTGTATTTTGATTTATTGATTTTTGTTAAAAAATAATGAAAGAATCCAAACTTTAATAATTAATAAGGAATTGTCATGACTTCCACAAAAAAAGAAAAGATACATTTAGGCGATGAGAAGTTGGTATTGTTATTCACTACATATATATATATATATATATATATATATATATATATACATATATATTCTAAACAAAGTAACAAAATTAATCATCCAAATAATATAGAGCAACAACAATTAGGATCAAATAAAAACTGTATTTACACAATATCAATTATTAACTTCAATTTTCATCAAACCCGACCCAACAATCTAGCTGCCCTTTTCAAAATTTTCCTTTCCTCCATAAATCAATATTTAAAAAAAATAAAATCAATCCCACCCACAAACACATCAATCCCACCTTTCTGTTGTTTGTTCATATCTACAATCAAAACTAACTTTCACCAACACCTTGTTCTGTAAATTCTCTTCACTGTATATGTACAAAATGCCTATCATAATTAAAAGAAGAATATGACAATTGTCATGCCCTCCCAACAGACATTTGTGTAAAAAGTGTCTTGAGATTCTTTCAACTTTAGACTTATAATCAGCCTAAAGTAATTCAGACTCATCCCCACCAATCACCATGCTCCCAAGCGAGATCAGCACTTGTGGGCCTTCCCTCTCGACCTTCCATCAGCACGGGGATGGCAATTTTGTAATTTTCAGATTCTCCAAACCAATCTTTTCCCTTACCGAGTCTATGATCTCCAGATCGGTCGGGATTCCAACTGCATCCGTCACATAGAATACGTTCCGGGCTGTCGATATCTCAGCCCGTTTTCATGAAATGTCCGCATTATGTCCCCCCAACAAACCTTTTCTATCGTCCGCACACAGCTTGATCCTCACACCCTAATTGATTTTTTTAAAAAAAGGACGGGAAAGGTTAATTTAACTAAACCAAAAAAAGGTCTTGTTAGAATAATGGGTTTTCTTTTTTCCTTTTCACAGCACCTTAGATGCCCGTCTCTCGATCGCCGCCTGTAGACAAAAAATCAAGCACTCCTTCTCTGCCTCGGAGCTAATCGGTGTCCCATCCACATGTCTGATGAAACTCCTCATTTCAAATAACAACCAAAGCATTAATTGACACAACTAAATGAATAAATAAACAGAACTCAAATTATAAAGAATAAGAAAACTATAAAATTACCAGACGCCGCATCCTCGAATGCATTGACTGTGGCGTGGGAAACAACATACCCCATATCGGTCAACGTGCAGACAACATCAAACAAAAGCTTATTCCAATCCTCGACATTGATTATTCACGACCCAATAATCCTTCTCCAAATAATTCCTAACCGATACACTCGAGCCCGAACCAGGCCGAACCACAACCCTCCTCTCAGTCTTGGTCAGCAAACATAAACTGGTAAAGCCTCCTCTCGGTATGCATCACGGCCAACAAAACCGAGGTTCTCGCGCTCCGAATGTCATTTTCCCTTTTCAGTATGTTCTTCAAAACTACCCCGATTGTCTCTAACTTCTGCTCGTCCTCTATTGGTGAGCCCGAATGGTCGTCCTTAATGTAAATTAAGGATTAAGGATGCTATACGGCTGTCGTGTGTCCAACCTTGGCATTGACTACATTACAACTCAAATTGGAAAGAACGATAAAACCTCAGATAGAAGGCTGACCCGGTCCGTGCCCGTTAGCTCAAGGGCCGTTAAACCCTTGATGCTTGTCGGTCGGCTATAACGGACCGTCCCAAGCAGCTGCATAAACAACCAATTAGATAGTTGATCAATCAACTAATTGATAATGAAATTAATTATTTCGGACAACGTTGAATGCGGTGGTAATTAATACTCGATGCAGCTGAGGATGCTCAATGCAGACCAAAAAAATTGCCTGAATTTCCAAT